CTTTTAGCTGATTTTAAACCTAAATTATTTTTTAATCTTTTTTTATCACTTTTTTCATCAAATGTTAAAACTAAAGGAAATCCAACATCGAGATTTTTGGCTTTATAATTTTTATTTATAAATATGATTATTAAGTAGTCAAAGAAAGTTGTAAAAAAAAAAATTTAATATACTTACAGATGATTGACATATTTAAAAGATTAAAAGTTTCAAATATTTTGGTATACATACCACACGAATAATATAAATACTAATATAAACAATTAAAAAAATATTACAAATGAGTCTTTGTCTAATAAAGTTGACTATAATAATTAATTAATTGGAACCTATTTTTATACGTAGATTAATTTCCCAACTTTTCTGATTGTTTAGTGATATAGATTCTAAATTTAGTATTATTAAAGCAATGTTACGCTATTTACCAATCAGAAAATTCTATGTTGCGTAATGAAATAATATCTTATTGGCTGATTTTTTTATATAAATCAATTTAGAATGATATTAATAAAATTTTGCAGTGTAGTCCTTTAAAGTTTGCATTTTTTATAAGTTATTAAAAGATTACTTTGAACGTTGGTTTAACAATTTTTTTCTATTAATTATTAATATTGGACACCAAAAAATCTAGTTTAAAGATTCTTATTCGATAAGTATCTATCTTATTTTATTTATCTCGTGTAATAAAAAGTATCGCCAAGAATCTATTGTAATAGTTTTTTAATTTGGACACTAAGCAAAGAACTAGATATATAACACTACCTATTACTTTGAAAACTGATAGAATCAAAACTGACCAAAATACTAAATTACAAAAAATAAAATTAATAAATATTATAAATTTAAGATAATTCAATAATAAAAGAACATACCAAAAACCAAATAAAGGTTATAATCGTGAGTTAAAAAATATTTTGCAAATGTATCAGATGTAAATAAAAAGATTATTAAACCATTTGTAAATATCCATGAGAGAACAAAATTTGTTTTAAATAATCTATAATAATCATCTTTCTTTATAACAGCATTGCGGTGTTGTTTCTCATCAAGCTTTTTGTTTTTTAGTTCATCAATAATATTGTCGTATGTAGCACCTTTATAATCTTCTTGAATAATATCAATTTTAATGGTTTTATTATCATCATTAGTTGACTGTACTCCACTATTAATATTATCACCTTTTGTACTCATGAAACATCATGAGTATTACAAAAAGCATAAATCATGAGAATATTGATATAGGAAGGAATAAGTAAGAGATATTGTACTAAACTGCTAAGCATGTGCCATGGTTCACAATAAATAAAGGATGAAAAAAGGTATAGCAAGTAAGTTAAAGCAACAGAAATTACGATGTCACGGAATGCTGCATTCTTTAAAGCTTCTTGAATTTTCAAAGGGTTCTTAAAATCTATAGACGCTGCTTTATATACAGTTAGATACATAATATAAATTGAACAGAAAAGCATAAATGCTATAATAAACGCAAAGAGGACAATACAGAGTGTGTATATCAATTTTGTTCCTTGAGGACGATTACCCATTGAACAAATAAAAATGATTACAATAATTACTAAATACAACGATCGAGCAGCATCAAATAAATTATCTCCATAACCATTGAAAGGATCAGTTGTAGGATTTGAAGTAGTGGACTGAATTAAGAAAACAAAAGCTAAATAAAAATTTGTCTAATAAAATTATAAATAAATAAATAAATATATATCAATCTCAAAACAAATATAAAGTTTTATAATATTTACCAATGAGAACCAGTTAAATATTAATTGCATGCCATTATAAACGAATTGAATTTGTAATAATATTTTGTGATAAAATGGCTGTCCAGATCTCCAAATATGAGTAAATTTGGCAATAGAGTAGAAAGTGGTAAAGAAAGATCCATTCAACCAGCGACGACGTTGAGAAATAAATTCAGGCACATTGTCTGGGACATCAGTTTCAGCTTTAGCTAACTAAATAAAATAAAAATTTTGAAAGATAAATTTAGAATTTTTGAATTGTTTTTTCCAGTTTTGTTTTATAGGTGGGTGGGTTTGGATATATTTGAATTTAAAGATTATATGTGGTTTTTGCTGTGTTTCTAGTTTTGCATCAGTCAAATTCGGCATCAGCCACGTCAATAAATTTTTACCTTTATGTATTTTAATTTCCATGATTTATTTTTCTTAATGACGAGTTCAAAACTTAAAATACGATCTTCTGCCAGATACATATTTGCTTCGAATATACCAGTCTTAGTAGCACCTGAATCATTCGTAGTCTCACCTTTAAGATATTTTTCCAATGGACCATTTATAAATGCGTTATATCAGTATGCGGAGAAAGCACCTGGTAATACAGATATATAACCAAAAACAGATTCTGACGGCTTGTCTAAGATATTAGACATTTTATATTCAAAATTTTGTGATGTGATTAAAGGATTGAGAAGGTTTCTACATTTATGGCCAAGATCTACTTTAATTTCTCCACAAGCACCACCAACATCATGATCACGATCAAAAGCTGAAATATATATCAATATAAATATTAATGCGAAAGCAAATTGTCAGTAATACTGTCTAATATTTTCAGCATTAGCCAACTTCAAACAAAATTAAAAAATTATACCTTTCTACAAGCGGTAAACTGAGGTTTGCAAGGGTCTTGTGCCTACATCAAGCAAAATACAAATCTTTGGTTCCAAAAGAGCCGCAAAGGCTTTGAAAGACCAACGATGAGAATTTAATTTTTTTTCATTTTTTTCTTTTAAACAAAACATTACTTGCACTGGTGGGATGTTATTGTCTTTCCCTTGAACATTAAAATTATCATCAACCATTAATTGTGTAGTATATTCGAAAAGATGTGCTTTTACTTTTCTACCATTTTGCACAATTCCACTGTGATAACAACCCATAACACTCAGGACATCTAGAGTCTGTTTATTAATTTTATTACGACCATCTGACACTATTAACACAACAATTTTTTTCCAACCTTCATTTTCCCATGATTTTGATTCTTTTTTTGAACAAAGATAGGCCACATTATTGATGACAGAAGACATTGTTTTAATAAAGTGTGAATCACTTTCATTATACATTGTAATAACAATCATAATTTCAGTATCTCGATTATTATTTTTTTGTCGAATTGAATATTTTTTATTTATAAACTCGTCTGGATCGCATTTGATGGCTGTGTATCTAATTTTTGTAAATTCTTCATTGGATGTGAATGAGACCTTGTTAAGAATCCATTCAGATACAGGATGGTCAAATACTATGTTTCCATTTTTTAAATCCTAAAAATAGTCAGTAAAATAAAATAAAAATATAAAAACTAGAGATATTTAAATCAAAATTAGATACCTTAGTTATAATTTTTACGTCCTTTTTTAATAAAGAAAAATAAAATAGGAAAATAAATAAACAAGTTAAATAACACTAAAAATGTAAAATTGTAAGTCAAAAATTAGGTACATTATAGTTCTTTGTTACTATATTGCCTTTGTTGTTGATAAAACGAAATTAACAAAGTTAATATTATTTTTTAAGATTATGAACCTAAGCTTCAAAATATTTTGTAAATACCATTTTTGCTATTTTTTTGTTTCATTATTAATAGTGGAAACAGGATTGCGAAAGACTTCTAGCTTATTCAAAAATAACATAGTTTTAAAGTATTATATTTATTTAATTTCCTTATGCATTAAATTTGGTTACTTTGTTTAATTATTATTACTTATTAATAATAAAATTCAATGAGTAATTAAAATTTTTCAGAACAATACAAAAAAAAAACCTTGATCTATCAATCAATTAACTAATTCAAATCTAGCCAAGTAATTTTTTTTTTATTCAAATCAATCTTTATTAACTATAACAACAATATTACATTTCATTATTTGAGGAAAAATTGATGCAATTTATTTATACAATTATAATCTCATTTTTTTATTTTTACAATTACTGTTAAGAAAATCAATTACTTAGGTTTAACTTTAATGAGTAACTTTATACTTTCGATCATTTGAAAAACGATCGGCAAATGAATCTGAAGCCAAAACTAAAAATCTGGAGGGTTGCTAATGTTAATATTTTTATAATTCAATGGACTGGTGAACTCAAATTGAGAATTTCTTTCGCTATGCATTTGGAGTATAAATAAAAAAGTACAACGGGATTAGCCAGCGAGAATTAGTGTAATTTTATCCATCTGAACCTCTCACGTGTTTGCTGAAAAGAAACAAGATACAAACTGAGTTTAATTTTCATTTAATAAAGTATACATTTTATATGATTCTTAAGGTCAACAAATACTATTTATTTATAAAGCATGTCATATTTGTGATAATTTTAGTTGCCTCTTCAGACTGCAAAACTCTTCATCTAGCTCTGGTTGATTTTTTGGACAAATAACACAGCATTTATTACAAAGCTTGTTATAATCTGATGGTGTGCCTGAGATAGATTCATTTCGAAGGCCTTTATAAGCAACAAGCCAACCTATGGCAAGCTTATTAGAAATATTCAAAAATGGCAGTATCCCACTTGTAAGTTCCCAAAATATCAGTCCTAGACTGTAAATGTCAGATTTGACGTCGGGATAAAATAATTCTTCATGTATATAACACCAAGGATCAATGTATTCTGGCATTCCTACTCCTTGACTTATAGAAAACTTACTATCATCAAATTTTAACTCTGTCCCAAAATCTGAGATCAGGAAATTTCCATCTTGGATTAGGATATTTCTTGAATGCTAGTTTAAATAATATGATTACAATTTTGTTAAACATAAAAAGTTAAGCATAATCAAAGATTAAAGTTTAAAATTAATATTCACCAAGGCACTGTAAATAATTTCTTTAGAATGTAAATATTGTAGTTCAAGAATAATTTGTATTGAAATCTGAATAACGTCTGTCCAGTTAATAACAAAAACTCCCTCATGCGTTAATTTTTGTTATAAAAAATCCTGTAGATTTCTGCCATTTGTGAATTGCGATACTATCATAAAATCACCCGTAATTGGATCTACAATTAAATATGAAACAATAATATATTTAAAAATCTTATCTATAAATCAAAATAAGAGAAATATTTCAATACCAATAGTAATTTCCAAAAATTTATTGATATTTAAGGGACCGTCATCTTTGTTAACTTTAATCAGCTGTTTTAACTGTAGATAATTTTATATAACTTTAATCTCAGTTCATTAGAAATAAAGTTAAACCTAAATATATGTGTAACTCTAATAATTATGAATAGTTTCAACTGTACTCGTGAAAACTGGATACATTACCTTGTTAAGCTTTTTGATCTTTGTAGGCTTTTTAAATACGATTGTTTCTTCATTATTGCAAGTGGCTAAATAGACAATTCTATTCCTACCTTTAGTTGCAGAAAAATGAATAAGCTTTGATATTATAATTCAGCTTTAACACAATAAAAAGCTTTTTAATGAATTATACCCATGCCAATTTCCTTAATATATCTAAATTTTGAAAACTCGTAATATTTTACATCTTTCAAATTCAGAGCACAAATTAAAAAGTAAAATCGAATTTTCATCTTGACGAGTATAGCCAACTGCTCCAACTGTAACTTTATAAAATTTTTTCTAATATAGAGATTAAATAGAAAATTACATAAATTTTTTGCAAATGTCAAAGAACCCTATTACAATTTAAAATCATCAGAAATATTACTTAAGTAACGTAACGCTCTCAAGTTATTTATCTATTAAAGTTGAGCATCTATTCACAGTTTGAAATGATTAAATAATTTTTTCAGAGCAATTTGTGCAACCTTAACGTAAAACATTCCCTTGTTTGTTCATTTTCTTTAATTGTTCCTGTTCAAAATTATATTTTGTTGGCCTTGTTTATTTGATAAGTACGTCATGTATTTAATTGCCAATTCGATATATCTATTAAACTTATGATAATTTCTATTTATTTATCTCATATCCTGATTATATAATGTTTTTGGGTCTCCATAGTAAATATTTTTTTATTATTTTGATTTTTTAAATAAAAATGTAGGGAAGAAATTCAAATAGTTAGAATATAAGATATTTAAATTTAAATTTTGCATTTATATAAAATTTTTATATGTTTAGAAGAAAAAAGTTTCATAACTATATTAATACATAATATTATGCGTTATAGAACTATATAATAATACTATTATGTTATGTAGATTTATAGTTGTTAGATGAACCATGTGATGCTAAATGTCACATATCAAACCTTAGGTTAAATTTTTAGGTCTTGGTATTTTGTGACAGGTGATATTTAGCATCATATAGTAGTTGTATTATAACCATTGACTAGTGACCACGTACAGTAAAGATCTAATTAAATATTTTACTTTGATTAATTTTTTTATATTTAAATTTTTTATTAATTATTTAAAATTAATTTTTTTATATTAAATTATTTTTTTATATCATAGAGGAAGGAGGGTGATGTTAACCGAAAATAACTTCGAACTTAAAATAAAAATTGAATTAATTTAAGTATAATCTTTTAATATTTAATTAAATATTTAATATAATTACTAATTTGATATATTAAATATTTATCAATTAAATAGATTTAAATTGAATTAATTTAAGTATAACCTTTTAATATTTAATTAAATATTTAATATAATACTAATTTGATATATTAAATATTTATTAATTAAATAGATTTAAATATTATTATTAAGGACTAATATTGGAAAAAATTTAAAAATAACTTCTAAAGCAACTTTATTAAGTACAATAAGTACTGTATACTAAAAAATTTGAAATCTCTAGAGAAGCTGAAACAAATAATCATCTAATTTTGAATTTGAATATTAATTTTTAGGATTTAATTACATTTTTTTCTCTTAATAAGATACTTTATCTAATAAAAGTTAACCATCTCAAAAGCATTCATATAAAATTTTTGTAAACACATGACAAAAAAAAAAAAGATTCCAAGATTAGCAAAATTAGTGCATTTAATATTAAAGAATTTGGTGAAACAAAATTATCAAATTGTAACGTAATGAAAATCATTTTCAAAATTCTTGAGCGATATGATATTGTTCTTTGTCAAGAGGTTAGGTTGTCTGTGAAAATGATCAACAAATTTGTTATCTCATTATCAAAATCCTCCTCCATTCCATATTCTTATGTGTCGAGTCAACCTATTGGTAAAGGTTCATACAAAGAAACATATCTTTACTTATACAAATCAAACAAATGGAAGGTATTAGATAATTATGTAATTAAAAAGTTTTGTAACAAATTTTTAAGAGCACCTTATGTCATCTGATTTCAAAATTTAAAAAGCCTCATATTAGAATTACTCTTGTTGGATGTCATATACATCCAGGTAATGCATACGAAGAAATAAAGGCATTAGTGAATAATGTATATGCAGATATTAAATCGAGATTAGAGAAAAAAGATAGTTTTTTATTTAATTTATTATATTGTTTTGGAAATTCATGTATCAATTTAAATATTTTAAATGAACCTATAATTTTAATGGGTGATTTCAACGCTTCGGGTTCTTACCTTAATAAGAATAAGCAAAAAACTCTTGACAATATATTATATAACAATAATTTGATGTGGGAATTGATCATTCTAGTGATACCACAGTTGCCACCAAATGCAATGCTTATGATCGATTTATATTTGAAATTAAAAATAAGGAAAGATGGATTAGAAATACCAGAGTATTTGAATTCGACAAAATATTGAAAATTGACAAGCTATTAAAGAATATGAAAACTTCTGATGTTTCAGATCATTATCCCATTGAGTTTGAATTGAAGTTGGATAAGCAGTAAAATCAAATCTGGGTAAAATTATTAAATTTATTAGCGAAGACTAATAAATATTTAGAAAAAAGAAGGTGAGTCAGTAAGATAATAAGATGCAAATTAATTTTATAAAATAAGATTGATGAATTTAATTAAAAATTTTATATTAAATTTCTTTATATTAGTATAGAACTGCACTGCAAGGAAAATTGCTATTGAAGTTAAAAATTGCACAATTTAAATTATATAATTGACTTAAATAATTAATTTTTATTATCTTATTTATTTTATTATTTTATATTTTAAACTTGATTATATTTTAAACTACTATATTTATCTGATTTAACCTATTTATTATTTTAAACTATTCAATCTATTTTTAAATAAATTTTTAATTTTGTATCATTTGGTTTAATTTATTTAGCCCGGATTATGGGTCGGATTTCAGATTTACGCCTGAATTAAGAAACTAATATGAATAATAAAATTTTCTATCAGTATTTCTTTATTATAAAGGATATTATGATCTTTTATAAGATGATATTTATGACCTTGTAATCAGCTCATCTAATACTGTGATATTAAAATAAAGTGTTATAAACATATTATTTTTTAATTAAACCTGAATATTTAATATAAAAGTGAATTAAAAGTTACATAAAAATTAATTGCAATCTTATTTTATAACCATAAAAGCTGTTCTTTTGAAATGTAATCATAGAGTCTGAAACATATTCTCAATTGTGCTCAATTCTAAACTATTATCATTGCGTTCGATATATCTGTCAACTGTGTTATACCATGCATGTGTTGTATAATTCTTCAAACCCGACTGTAATATGCTTTTTGATTTCACTGTGTATCCAGCATAATCGACATACTTTTCCAAAATTAGGTCTTGTAAACCAGATAAATGTAACTCTTCTCCTTCACGTGAAGAGTCCGGCATTTTTTTCAATCTTTTATGCAATTTCCGCCGAATTGTCATCCAGGTAATGACTAAAATAACTAGTAATGAATAACAAATCCTCTGTCAAGCTCTAAAATTCTTTATTTCAATCAGTTATTTCAGGTTTCGCAGAAACGATCATGGATAGACAATCATTTACTATTACGAACTTGGTTTGATTAATATTGTTTGAATGGTTTACTTTTTAATTAGTTTTTATTCATTTTATCTCTGTATAACTCGACATCTTTTCTAATATTTTCCTGCGAAACATTAAATGTGGATATTGCGCATATTAATCAATTAGATATTTTAGTGAACTTTTATATTAATTAACATTGCATTGTTATTTGCAATAAAATATTCTTGTTTATCAATTGTTACTTTTTAATTAGCTTTTTTTTCATATAATTACTCGACCCCGAGAAGCGGGCATTGTATTATTTTAATAAATTTACAATCCATATAGAATATTAAGATTTATTGTTTGAATATTTCTAAACTATTATGATAATTGATTAATTTCTTTGTGTGGCCATTGATTTAAAAATAAATATTACTAACAAATATTTTACCAGGCATGTTAAATGACATGTGCAATTTTCTATTAGCACGATGAAAAATATGGGGTATAAACTGAAAACATATTAATTTGATAAATATGTTATGTTTTTATGATGTCCAAGGAACACGTGATGTATTAAAAAATATAAGATTATTAACTTTACAAAAAGTTATTTTTACTTTTTTAAGATTTACTAGTGATCCTGGCAGTATTGCATGAATCAATACATAATAATATAGCAGCAATGGTTAAGAAAGAAGCGCTCATAGTAGCCAAATAAATGTCAGGACCAGTAATTTAACTTCCAATACCAGGAATAATGGAAATAAGATCAAATATCCAAACAAACAATAAGAGATCAAAAAAACAAGAAATGATATTAAGTAAGAAAGAAGTTAATATGAGTAAACCAGCAATAATTGTAAAATGAAAATATAATAAAGGTAGAGAGATTACATTAAATATTAAAGCTATTAAATATAGAATTGAGAAAACCCCCGAAAAATTA